GCCCGCCGGTGGCCAACGGTGGCTTTGCTCCTCCATGGGTCGGGTCACTGTGTGGGGTCTGCTGTACCCAATATGTTATAAGAAGTTACGGGTCTAAACCTTGGGCGTACGCTACTTGAAATGGTCGCCTGGATAATAACTTCTGGTTATCTAGACTTCATGCTTGGGTCCTGAAACGGCCTAGAACAACAATCTGGAGCGTTGGGTCGTGGCAAAAGAACCGGGTACGTTGCCGGGACCGACTTGCGGACCCGTTCTCAGCATATAACTCAGCGTGAATTAAAAAGCGGTTTCATTGTAGAATCGATGGTGTTTCGGTGGCATTGTGAAGCACTTATACATAAGACAGGTTTTGTTGTTTTTTCGCATTCCGCAGTTTGATGGGTTTACTGGATTAACTCTGCCCAAGGTTTGGTGGTGCTAACCTGTTTACACATCTTGCTTTCTTGGGTGGCCTCGGCGCTTGTATAGATTGTGTTGTGAGGAGATGGGAAGCATATCAGTTTGAACTATACTGTTTGGCGAGTATTTGGTTCGATGGGATCAGATAAGTCGATAGTTATGTTTTTTTATGGGTGGGTATTTACACACACGGTGTTGCGATAGTGGTTGCATCGTTATTCAAGTTGTGGAATCCCGCAATGATATTTGCTCGTTGTGGTGCCATTCGGAATTAATGAAAAATAACTCATCTTAGGGATATATATCTCGTGTCATTGTTGTGGTAATTCAATAGTTTAGAGACGTTCATGAGTCCGCTGGAAATGATTCATGTGGGTCTTTCATGTAGAGAACTTCAGCAAGGCAAACTGAAAGTAATTGTTTTATTCTCTTGAATGAAATATGGAACATCATTCCGTATAAAGAGGTTACTCTTAGTGGGGTAACCACCAATTAATTCCTCACTGTGACTCTCTTCCCGTTTTCAGGACTGGTTGCCGCCACTCGACCGTTGGATGATGGTTGGTCACGCCTGGTAGACGGTTGATAAGGTGGGCAGGCAGAATTGATTCCGGCTTGGTGATCTGACATGCCGACAGGGTGGTTGGAGGGGTAGGGACCAGCTGCGATCAGCTTCAATTACTGGGTCCTCAAGCGTTGTCGAGCTTGCGCAGTTGAAACAAGTTGGCATATGCTTGCAGCAGAGTGCGAGTGGGTCCGTGCTCTGTGTTGGCTAGCGGATGGAGGTTGGACGCTTGGTTTTTCGTTGGAAAGTTGGTTTTTTCACGGAACACATGCTCAACTGTACGCTGACGTTTTGTGTCGTGTGTGTGTGTGTCTGTGTGTGTGTGTGTGTCACGCGCCTGTGTGGTGTGTGTGTTCACTGTGTGTGTCTGCTGTCTGTGTGTGACGAGGGGAGCTGCTGTGTGTGTTCTGTGTGTGTGTTGTGTGTGGTGTGTGGTGGTGTTGTGTGTGTGTGTGTGTGTCGTGTGTGTTGTGTGTGATGGTGTGTCTGTGTGGTGTGTGTGTGTCTGTGTGGTTGTGTCTGTGGTCTGTGTGGTGTCTGGCTGTCGGTGTCCAGACTTCGTTCTGGTTGGTGTGTGTTGTGTTGGGCTGTGTGTGCTGTGTGTGTGTCCTGGTGTCTGTGTGTGGTGTGTGGGTGTGTGTTGTAGGTCTGTGTCGCTGGTGTGTGTGTGAGGTCTGGTGTGTGTGTGGTGTTGTGTGCCTGTGTCCTGTGTGTGGTGGTGTTTCCTGTGTGGAGTGATGTGCTGTGTGGTGGCTGTGCTCTGCTTGTGGTTGTGTCTGTGTGCTGTGTCTGTGAGTGCTGTGTTTGTGGTGTGGGGTGTGTGCTGTGGGTGTGTGTGTGTGTGTGTGTGTGTGGCTGTGTCTGTGTTGTGTGTTCTAGTGTCGTGTGTAGTGTCGTGTGTGTGATGTGTCTGGTGTTGTGTCTGTGTGTGTGTGTGGCAGTGTATTCGTTCGATCGTGTGTTTGTCTGTGTCTGAATCTAATGCTAACATGTCATTAGTGTGTTCTGGTTTGCTGTGATGGACGCTTAACGATGTTGATTGTTGTTAAGGCTAGGTGGGTCGGTGTCGCTGGTTCTGTGTCTGTGTGGTGATGCGTTGAACTGGTGAGGCTAAGTCTGGTTTTCTGTCCGTGTAGTGTGGTGTGTGTGGTGTGTGCCCACACTAAAGTCTTTTGGTTTCACCAGGGGGAGTGTTAAAGCACTTGGTGGTTGCTGTAATAGTGCGTAGTGAGTGTCAAAGGATTTGGGATGGTGTTGTTTTCATAGTAGTAGATATGTGTGTGTGGTGGTCTGAGTGGTGGTAGTATAGTGTGTGTGTGATTTGTGGTCGCTGGTGGGTGTGTGTGCTGTAGTCTGTGTGTGTTCTAGGTGGTTGGATGTTGTATTAGTAGTGAACTGTTGTGTTGTGGCTCTGTGGTGTAGATGTAGTCTGTGTGTTGTGTATGTGTGTCGCGTGTCTGTGGTG